GTTTTGGACTCGGCCAAAATCGATTCGGCAGTTGTAGCGCCAATAAAGAAGTCTCTTATTTTCGTAAATTCACCATCACGAATGGGTCACAAATTACCCACAGCCATTTTACTTCGTTAATCATCCACGTGCTTTATTTCACTCCGCACTTCATTTCTTTAATCCTCCTCTCAATGCCTAACACCCACATTTGGATTTACGAGCAGTAATTCAAAAATTCAGTTTATACGGACAAGACACATGCATTTAATTATAAACACAGTTCATTCTGCCTTATTTCATTTATACAATGAATGCACTTTTTCGGTTAAAGTAGTTAAAGTTTGCACAGCACTTCTTGTAGCATTACTATTCCAACGCAGCTGGAGCACTTTTAATACGTCTAAAGAAAACAGTTGAATGCTCTTGTTTGGGTGAAACGTTTTATTCTTTTGTTTATTAAAAAAATAATAATCGCGCTGACATCTATTAACTTACTGGGGCTTCCTTCTGAAAGAACAACCTGTAACAAATTTAAGAAAAGCATTAATTTGCTATACAAAAATGCTTTATATTTTCCCAAACTTACCCTCAGTCAGTTTAGCACGTCCACCCGTGGGTTGACACAGGATCGTTGCACATCCCGCGCAAACGACAACGCCTTGTGCATGACTGAAAACTGTGGTAATCCTGTAGCAGCCGGGACACTTGACGTCCATAAAGTACGAGTTGGGATGTTGCACCAAGCGCTTCAGCTTGTGCTTACGCTTCTCTTCAGCGGGCAAAGGGTGCAATAAATCTTTTGCTAGCTGCAATTGCATACAAACAAAAAGTATTAAACACAATCGATATCTGTACAGATATGAATTTCACATAGTTTGTGTGGCAGAAAATTGCAGCCTGTATTTAGGTTATGTTTATCACACAGATTTCACTTTTACATTACACAGTGCCTGTGCACTTGGGAAGTGTAAACATATTACTTAATTCCTAATTTAAAATTCTTGTTTGGTTTTAATTACATGGCACGGTGGCCATGCATCGGGAACACACAAACTCATGCACTAATTTATTTCACGACAGTCGAGCGACGTCAATCTTTTACAAGCATTTAACCACACATTCGGCTGGCAATTTGAACTTGGGGAACATATTTTCGAAAACAGAAAACTCCCAGCCTTCATCCAAAGGTAAAATTTTAACCCACTTTGCAGTTTTTTGCCATAAATTTGTAAATTTTCGTAGAATTTGACACCCACCGGCATGTTTCTTCTTTCACAGCTAACACGGAAAAGGAAGTAGGAAAAGTATACGAAAACTTAGATGTAGTTAAATATATAGAATGACATTTCATCACAACGAACGTTGCCAGCGTGATTCAATAAGCATGCGTTGCCAGTACATGATTTTTTTTTTATCTAAAACAAAAAACGTAAATCTACGATTAAAAGTAAAATACGACAAGGTTCTTTTGTTCAGATAAAAATAAATATCAGGGGGATTCGGGTAATATTCCCCCATAAAATACTGAAACACATTTTTAAGGCTTATATGTATATTTAATTACCAAAGAAAAGGGGCCGAACACCTTTTGCATAGAACACCTTTCTGCGTAGGCGGCCTTCGGCCGCACTTAGGGATTATAACCCTCACTACGTAGAATTCTCCTTTCTGTGTTGCCGGAAGAGGGGAATATGACCCCAATCCCCCTACTATTTATTTTCATCTGAACAAAAGAACCTTATCGTATTTTCCTTTTAATCGTATTTTCTTTTGGTCTTGCTTTCCACTCTTGGTTTTTTAGATATGGCAACACAGTCCTGCTGCCATTTGCACATATTCTGCATGTACTCTCATAAAGTTAAACAACAATCAATTTTTTATAAAAAAGCTGTAATATACTAAAAGTATTTATTTGTTTGCACGTGCACACTCTAGCTGCGCATATATTGAGTGTAAATAACGTGTAAATTTAGTGGAAAGCAGGGTTCGTATTTGCACACACATGCTCTGCTCACACACACGCCAGAAACACATTCAACTTGTACTCACTGCTCATACACATGTGTGTGCATAAGTAGAAAACAAACTCTGCTCACAGAAAAGTGTGTGCTGTTTGTTATTAAGCACATGCACATGTGTGTGAGCCGATTTTTGTACAAATTTCAGCCCATGCACATGCACATAATATATTTTTAAAAGAATTTGTTTATTAAACGTTATTTTTTGAAAGACAATTCAATAACAAGTGAGGTGTTGTTTGTTTTTTATATGACAGAAAACATATTAAAAAATTATTTTAAGATTTGAGATAGAAATCGAAGTGTATAAGTTTCTCTACGCAAGGCACACACATGTGCGTGTGCTTTATATTAATAAAAATAAAGTACACACATGTGCCCGTGCTTTTTACCAAACAGCACACACATGTGATGTGAGCAAGTTTTTAATTTTTTATATGCACAGCACACGTGTGTGAGCGTAAAATGTTAGGATGTGCTGCGCATGTGTGTGCAAATACGAACCCTGGTGGAAAGTGCATTATATATTGTGAAATAGTCCAATACAAGTTTGTGAAAATTACAAACTTTAATAACAAATTACTTAAAAACTATAAAGTTGCGCGCTTTGAAACTTCATACAGGGAACTATTAGACCCCCATCTACCTCCCATATTTTCCTTAATGCTGAACTCCGGGGTTAGCAATCTAAATCCCACCCATAGATTTATGTGTTATATATATAGATTTACGTTCTTTGGTTATATGAAAAACCTGAACAGTTCTTTTGTGTACATGTGACTATGCGTCCCTTTCTACATATTGTATTTCCTAAAGTAATTTTTAAAAATGGTTTTCTGTGCATTGGTGTTTATTATAGTACTACACGTGTGTTCGTCAAGAGGTCAGGAAAAAAGTACTTTTCTTGTACGGCAGTAAAATAATTTTAACAAAACAAAACTCTGATATGTGATAGGTGGCAACTACAAATTGAATGGTTTAATTCAATTGTGAAATAGTAGATTTGCAAGATTTTTGAAAGGTTCTCGTTTAATTTTACCTGTGTGCAACTTATCTATGTACTTGTATATATGTAATTAAATTGGCTTAATTGAGATCTCTAAATTGTCCTAGTATGCTACAGTCAATAAAGCACGGTACCCTGGAAACAATAGGTTATTTCCCTAACAATCCGGACCGGATCCGGTAATAAGAGAATAAGCGAAAAGTTTGCTCTCAAAAATGGAACATAATCCAGAAGTACGGGAACGCAAAAATCCACATTTCGTGCCCAGAATTTGTGAAACAGCTAGTGATGTGCTGAATTTTCGGTACCCAATACTTAAAAAGCTTTCAGTACCCAATACTTCCTTTTCGGTACCCGATACCGATCCTTTAGATTAAACTTTCGCCATTATATGCATTTCAAGTTTAGAAATAACTTTAATTACTAATTTATATGATATCGGCTAAAACACTTGAACTTATCGCAACAGAGAAATATTATTTTATCAGTTTTAATATTAGTGGATTCAAGGTTCAAGAAAAATGCTTTTACGGATGAAGAAACCTTTCAGGGGGGAGATTCTGTAACCAGTTAGCGACAGCTGGAACAAAAATGCTTCAAACAAGTAATACTAGGTTCACATATAAGTCGATTATCCTCATTTTCGAGCTTAACACCCTAATCTGTAATTATAACAAGAGATTAGCCATATAAAATTCGTCCCTTGTTAATCTGTAATTATAAAATAATCTCAGATTTAACCGATAACTTTTCGGTGTCCATCCTAGTTTTATCGATTGTTTTTGCGAAAGAGAGGAGAAATGCCAAATGTAAAAGTAAACAAAAATGTACGCTAGCAAGTAAAAGAGGTTTGTACATAAAGGTATTTTTAATAAAATGTTAAGTTAAAATATATTTATATTGCTTATTATAGAAGAAAAACGTGATCACGGTGGCACAGAGAAGAAACATAAATTTTCCTTGAGATGTGAGGATAACAAGCACAACAAATTTGATGGCTAATAATCTGAGATTTGCCTGTGTAAACGGGGTGATTAAAAAACGAGCTTTGATTGAGATAATATTGATATGTGAACATAGTTTAAGAGTGTCTCTGCATTATGGCCTCGAACAGACATATATACATCTTTCATTTGAATCCGTACTAAAAGTTCTATTGGCTCCTACATTCGGGTTTTTATAGGCGAGTCTCCCCTGAACCGTTTTTTCCATATTTTTGGCCTATGTGCGCTTTTATTCGAAACCTAAGGTATATTTCAAACGTATTCTGTTTATTCCGGCTGTGAAATGGGATTATCCGGAATGTATAAAGAAACGCAGCCTAAATGTTTCGGTACCGAGTATCGAGAGTATTGGATACTTATTAAATCGGTATCGAATATCGATCAATACTTAAAAGTATTGACTCAGCACATCACTAGAAACAGGCAACATGTAAACACGAAACAGCTGATATGCAATTTGACGCTTTATCCGTTTTTACCCGGAGAAAAAGTCCGGGCTGTTCTGGGCAGGAAGAAGAAGACATTTACGATCCAATACGTGACTTGTAATGGCCCCGTCAGAATGGGTACTTTGCGTACGTTCCGCTCAAGGATGAAACTGACAGTTGAGTAGACTGTGTGTGTTTGCATAGAGAGCGTCAGATTGGTAGACTTTGCGTCGACGGACCCAACTAGCGTTGGCCAACACTCAACTTTTGACGCACGTAAGTCCGTCACTGCTGACAGTTGTATAACCCTGCGTTTACACAAGGCAAGACAATTGAGAATATGTTTTAATTGTCACATTGTTTCAGTAGAGTAGACGTCCAGACAATAAACTGTCTTCGAAAAGTCAAAGATAGTGACGAAGACATGAAGAGAGGTGTGAATATATTAGTAAAAAAGTGTTATTTTTTGATATTGTTACTGAAAAATTGACTTGTGTAAACCTCCATAAGGAACAGCTGATTTTTGTTTGCAGACGCAACACCCTCATTGTAGCGTATCTCTACGTTACGTACGCCATTTCCTTCGCATACTTTTCTGTTATTGACGTACAAGTACCCATTCTGACCGGCCTATAACTAACTCAACTCCGCTGTGTCGTGGCTCTAAAGCTCAAACAGTCAACGACATAGCGTAGACGTAGGTCGACGTAGACACGATCTCCCTTATGGGATTCGCGTGTTAACGAAAACTCTCTCTCTCTCTCTATCAACAGTAAATTTGATATGCTGCTACGAACGTCACCTTACGTTTACGCTACGTCGTTGACTAACTGCGCTTTTATATACTTGCGCTCGCACTCATGGCAACTCTCGAACGTTCTGAAGTTCATCGCTCATTCTCTTTCTCTCGCTGTTCGCAGTGTTCATCCAACTTGACGTTTCTCTTTGTGGAACATTATACGTCCTTCCTCGAAAATTCTGCCTATTTCTCGTTGTTCGCTTTGTATTGCCGCAGTAGTCGTCACACTGCACTCCACCTAAGTCTGATCGTCCCGATCAGACACACTTGCTGTGCCAAACGATGCAAACCTTTCCAAGTGGATCACCTTCATCTTGTTTCTTGATCTCCCAACAGTCTGGATTCAATACACTACGTCATTCAGCCGTTTGGCGACCTTATACGGACCTTCCCAGTTGCATTGTAGTTTTGGGGACAAACCTTTCTTCCGTTGTGGATTGTACAGCAACACTAAGTCCCCCTCTTGGAAACCCTCGGAGTTCATTGCCTTGTCATACCTGGCCTTCATCTTGTCACTCATAATTTGAGTTCGCTGTCTCACAAGAGCATGTATCTCTATCAGCTCCTCTTCCAGGATGTTGGACGAATCTTTCCCAATCCTCCTCGATTTGCCAGTTACTCCAAACTTCAGATCACTAGGCAAACGGAGCTCACTGCCG